AGCACGGACCTGCTCGTGCGCGTCTCGCTAAGAGAGAATTTTGCGATTCTCCCGCTCCCGTATCTCGAGGATTTTTCGACTCGAGGGTGTAGTCCTTGGTCTTCGCTCCTATTCGAAGTCGGGGTCACCAATGTAACTACCAATGATCCTGGCGATGGAGTTGAGGTAGATAACTAAACGTTTGTGAGATACAAAGAGATTTATTTGACTTGTAGAAGTTACAGGAACAACCTACCGTTACGGCGGGGAGAGCGGTACTGTCTGTACTTGCGGTCGCCGGTCGAGGCGAAGGTGCGGCGCTGTGCGCTAAAGCGGTGGTCGCCTGTGTAAATCCCTACACATATTGGAGGTGGTGGTGACCTCGAACGACTCCGAGGAAGAGACGATACTGGCTCGCGAGCTACCTCGAGTAGCTCCGCAACCGCACGTCCACGCTCCTTTCCCATATAAGCCGCTCGCGCATTACAGGTCGGACCCCGCGTACCAGTTTGATCGCCGGGATGGGCCCGCGCAATTCCCTCCAGCCGGCTATTTGGAAGATGAGAGGAAAAAGGAGGCTGAGGCTCGGCAAAATGCGGGAAAGAGGAAACGTTCCATGCGTTTTGACCTCATCGCATGTAACTTCGAGAAACCGTCCTCCAGTCGGTCGTCGAGAGCATCTCGGGCAGCGAAGGGAGTTGTTGTTGAGACGACAGGCTCTCTCCAGCCACTGGTTGCTTCGGCGACTGATGGAGGAAAGACCTCGAGAATTGGTACGAGTACTGCTGCCGGAAAGATGAAAGAGGACCCAGTAGTACCGGTGCGACCAGCCCTTAAGCCGGTACGATCACTTACGTCTTCCCAGGCGGCAAACTCAACCTCCACCTCAGCGCTTCCTTGTTGAGTAGATGAGACAGGATTTCGCCTGGTCCGAGGTAGTTTTTTGCAGGGCCTGGCCCCGGTCCCTTGAGAGCCAGAATTGGACGTGCCCTCGTTCCGCTGCTTTAATTGTAGCACGGTGTCACATCCGAGGGCGGCCTGCAAGGAACCGCCTAATCCGCGTCCGGTATGCCGGAATTGCGGGCGACTCGGCGTCCTCGTTTACGACTGTCCGCGCTGCCGCGAGGCCTTTAGGACGGATCAGGTGCGCAGGTTGCTCGTGGAGGAGGGAAAGACTCGGGAACGCTCCATTCATCCGCTAGGACTCCAGGCTTCGTGGTCGGAAACCGTAGAGCCGGAGTCAATGGTCCCTGAGGCGAGGATTCTTTTGGTCCTGAGTCTTCCGTCGGGGAGCCAAAGGCGAAGAAACCCCGACATAGATACGGTAAGAGGCACAGGGAGAGGCTCGCGCGTAAAATACTTGCCGCAGAGGGAAACCAAGCTGAAGCCAATACAACCAGCACCGCGCGAGTAGAGGTCGCGACGCGGATGGAACAGGCGCTGGTATCCGCGAGTCTGCCGGTGGATCGTAACGTCAGGGTAACTGGGCCCGACACGGCTAAGGTTGCCGGCTATAGCTTATCCGGATTATGCTCACCTCCACTTACGGTGGAAGAGCTCCGAGCGCTCAGGCACCTGTATTTGGAGTCGCTTGAGCGACAACAACAGTGGTAAGTTCCTTTTGTCTAGTTTAAGATTTGGTTATGTCACCATCTTTGGGGTATCGTGGATTGGTCGATTCTCCGCGATGACGGGCTTGGTATTTCGATTTCATGTTCCGGGTAAAACGATAAATTTTGTCCTTGGTCTAATTTGGTTCTTACAAACCTAGACTTAAGTTTAATTAAGCTATGTTTATGTTGTTTATTTAAGTATGAGCGTTTAGCATTGGTTGCCAGTTGCTAGTTGAGAGAGAGATTGTGAGGGTGGAGATTAGGCCGTTCGCAAGTGCGAACTGTGGCCTGGAAGGGGGTTTGACGAGAGCAAGTGTTGCGCTTGTTCTCGTCGGAATTTTCCCCAATTCCCCCTCTCTCGGCAAGGCACGGTAACCAGCGTTAGGCGTATTTAAGAATGCTCCGAATGCATGGTCTTTGTTTCAGCCGACGAAGTTTGACGAGCGAAGCCGAGCCGACCCGAAGCTGTTACGTTGGTGACAGAGTATAGAGGTGTTAGAAAGAGAGAGAGATAGTTGGGGGCGTGCGTGCCCTACGAAACATTAGGCAGGCGCGCGTCGTGAACTAATTAGCTCATTGGTAGCGCGCCGCCTAATAGGTAGGTCAAGTGGGGAGAGAAAAAGAACGAGGAAGAAGCTGTCGATCGCGAGAGAGAAAGCGAACGACACAGACGGTAGTAAGTCGAGCTGCTAGTCAGATGGTTTTCCAGCCGATCCGAAGACAGACGGTAGTGTGTCGAGTAGTCAGAGTCAGAAGGTTTCCAGTAAAACGATAGACGGCCAGCGGTATCAAAAAGTCGAAGTCCAGCTTAGGACAAAGGGCCAGCCGAACGCACACACCGCCAAGGGCCAAAGAGAATTGAGAGGACAGAGGACGACTGCCTTGTTCCAGCATCTGCTCGGGACGCTACTCGGAAAAGCCGGCACGAGTTGCCCAGCGACAGCCAGCAACATCGAACGCATGGCGCAGCCAGGCCTCCCGTTCCAGTATCGAAGGTCAAGTCTCGCAAGTTAATTTCTCTCTCTCTTTCTCTCTCTCTCTTCAGCGATATGGCACAGCGCGTAATTGTAAACGTTAGGTAGATAGCAAGGCGTGCACACGCCGACTACCTGCCCTAATTACGGTCGGCGTCATATATCGTTCAAATAGAAATCGTCCAGGCGATCCCTCGCCGGGCATCGTTCTCTTTTAGTTAAGTAGCCTAAGTCGGTTCGTCGTCAAGGCGGTCATCTGTCGGGCGATGCGCGTTGTATTTCGTATAGATTTATAAGCGCGATAAGTTAGTTAATTTGTTCTTTGTTCTCTATTTTAATAGGTGTTAAGAACACCGTTGTGTTCTATAATGTTGAGACGTTTCAGCAACACTGTTTTGTTCATTAGATTAATTGTAAGATTTGTGAAAGTTGATTATAAGAGTTCATATTATAACGCGGTTTATAATTATGCGGTTGTTCATGTACGGTTTTGAAGCTCAAGTGTAATGTGACTTTGATTTGATTTAAATTAGATTTGTTTAAATGCGAATTTTTCTTGTGTATATAATTCCCTTACCACTTTCATTTTTTTGCCTTTTCCCCCTTCACGCCTCAATTGCTATGAGCGAGTGCGCCTCACTTGCCCACCTTAAAAACTGATAAAGAACGAGCTTTCGTTACAAGTAATAAACTGAAATTATTTCTCACTTATAAAGGTGATGGTTGTATAGAATTTACTACTGCACATATATATATAGACATATATATATATGGGTGATTCCAGCAGTTTTTTAAAATTGGCTGCGCAGGGGGGTCAGCCGATCTTCTCGGCGATTTTTTCTATGATAGAGTATGTCAAAAAAAGCCTTTTGACTATCTCAGATTTTCGTTAAAATATATATATGTCCATATATATTTTTTCAAAGTCTGAAAATCTGCCTGTTTTTGGCTATTTTTGAAAAATCGTAGCTCCGCGAGTTTTCAATATTTTTCAATGTGCGACATCTCATTTCATTCGTCTACTTTTATACTTTCAAGAAAAAAATTGTTTATTTATAAAAAGTGACAGCTACCGGGTGTACTCTGACAATATTGGTACGCCTTTAGGGTCAATTTGATGCTCATATTCCGAGCACTGTAACTTGGCCAATTTTCAATATTTTTGAATCAACCGCGTGTCATTTTTTTTGTCTTTTTAAGGCCTGTAATTTGAGATCCGGCACATCTCAATGAACGCATTAAAACTAGAGATATAGCCGTTTGAAAATGACCATTTTTTGAAAAAATCGAAATCGCCAATTTTTGAAATCGTTTTATTTGAAAATGAAAAAGGGTCATATCGTGAAAATTTCAGAGCATGTTCTACTCGATTTCAGCTAACTAAAACCGCCTCAAAGTAGAAAAAAAATTGAATGCGTTTTTTTTTCGCCTTTGAAAATGTATATTTTTGAAAAAACGGCCAACTTTTATCGGCTATATCTCTGGTTCTAATGCATCGATTGAGATGCGCTGGATCTTAAATGAAAGGTCTTAAAAAGACAAAAAAAAATAACACACGGTTGATTCAAAAATATTAAAAAATGACCAAGTTACAGTACTCGGAATATGAGCATCAAATTGACCCTAAAAAGCGTACGAATATTGTCAGAGTACACCCGGTAGCTGTCACTTTTTATAAACGAACAATTTTTCATTTATTTTTCATTTATTTTTCACGCGAGGAGAGTGCCGCACACAGGGCTAGCGAACATCGCTATAACCCTGTCACATATGAATCATTAAATCCTAACCACTCTACGAAAACCTGATTATCACGCCTCTTAATAACCTTTTCTACTAGATAGATGTCAGGATATTTGGTTTTCTGAAGTTCCTGTTCATAGAAGCCACCTGGGATAGGCTATTATTTTGATAATCTATCAAGTGATAAGTAGTAGGATTTGTTTGTGTCACGCGCACAATTCTAAATATTTTTGTTGACCAATTTGGTGTATACCCTTTTTCAAATTTTTGTTTCGCTATGCTCACTCTGATTTGTCGCCAACTTTGAACTTTGACTTTCTTCTTCTTCCAACGTCTTATACAAAATTTTTTAAAAAATTTAAGCTTGATTCGCCGCTGTAACTTGGATAGGTTTCATATCAATAGTTCTGTGTTTGCGATTATTGTAAGCAGCTGTGAGCTCCGATAGTACGTCGAACCATTTGTAGTTCCCACGGAGACTAAACTTTTTCTACATAGCATTCTTTAACGTGCGATTAAATCATTCGCATGTCGTTTGATATATATATATATATATATATATATATATAAAATTACTTATTGCATCAATAACCCAAACTAGCGTTCTTTTTTATTGCTTTGCTTATTTGCTTATCAAATTACACTTAAGAGTATTTCTATTATATATAAAGATTCGAATAATTTATTTCAGGATTTACCTGTTGCTGCAATGAAACAGTTTATTTCCAAAAACACTGTAGCTAACATAACTTGGTTGCAGTTTATATCTGACGAAGATAGTAAAGAGCCGGTAAATTATTCATAGATATAATGATTTATACCTATATAATGTATACAAAAATTTATGTCATTGATATCTAATTTAAAGAAGGCGATATGGAGCGAGTCCTCGCGGACTTGCAGCTAACCGGGGGTGGTTTACATCAAACCCTTTTTATTCTATTTCTCTTTTTTATCGTACATGTAGCGCGTACATATTAGTACGTGTAGAAATTCAAGATGAACGGCTGTAAAATAGATGTGTTTTACAAGCATCTCAAATTTCGCTTGAGTTTCTATGGTTTGATTTATAATCAATAGCTTTATCATAAATATTTATAATCAATTGCTAAAAGCGCTTATACATGGAACATGACCAACTATTGATCATATTTCAAGAGCAAAGCCAATAGATTTTTATATATGACAAACGCAGACTGTGCGAACATACACCACAATTTACCCAACCAACTCAATACAATAGTGACTCGTTTTTCCAACTTATAATATATAATAGGCAATACAAATTTTATTTATTTAAGCACAAACTCCCACGATGCAGATCTAACCGCCGCTCTGTTAAGCACGTATAGTTATACGTGTATTCGCCTTTACGTCAGATTATTTCGTTTTAATGTCTTCATTCCAACTAAGTTGAACTCACCTTACGAGTAAGTCACTTGACTTGTGACACTCGATCTATCTTAGGTGTGATTGACTTTATGCCTAATCCGCTTAATCCCCTAGATAAAATCAGTTTCAAACCTAAGCCTTTATAAATTGCTTAAGCTAATAGGAAATGAAATGACGTAATCGGCGAATAAAATTAACTAAGTTTAATCAATAAAAACTAGTCTTTTATGGGCCGAAAGACTAACGCACGCCATAGGATTTACAATGATAATTTAGAATTAAGTGAGAGAGAGAGAGAATTCGAAAATTACCGCGAAAGCTAACGCTTGGTGCAAATACAAAAATATTCAAAATCGCGGTTGACAAAATACTTTTGATCGTATTTTGTCACACAACAATAAAGTACCTCTACCCTGCGGTGCAATTACGGTGATAAGCCGTAATTGTTGATGAAGAAAATCAACTATCGATGCTCCTCCAATTGATTAGCTGCGCTGCCTCATTCTCCAATCTGCTGCAATTTGCTGCTGCTATACTGCTGCTGCTTGCTGTTGCACTCCCGCACGTAAAAAAAATCGTACCAGAAAACTTTTTGAAAGCGGCGAAACACAGTGCAAAACAATTTAACGGTATTATCGCGAAAGCAGCTGAGGCTTAACTGTCTATTTCAAACTCTCGCGCGCCTTCTCTCTCTCTCAATTGTTCAAACTAACACGCGAGTAATAGAATCGCGAACAGATCGATTAATTGAATCGACTACCGTTGCAATTGTTATCATCACTGTTTTAGTTATCATCCAATTTTAGTTATAAGGGCTTCCACATATAAGTCGGCTTTGCTCCATATGAGTCACTAATTTCGCTAATCACTTGTTATTTATATATACTTCGTACTCTTCTGATCTCACGCGTTATTGAGTAAGAAGTCGTTTCAAATAGAATAAAGTAAATGTATCTAATATTATTTATGATGCATAATTTTAATCTTATATATGAAAATCAAATTTATGTAATGAAAATATATAATTATTTGGAATCGAATTGAGTAAAGACAGGCTTTGCCCTAGTTTCTCATGGTGCGAAGTGTCCCATAAGCTGAGCATAACTCTCTCTTGGAAAACAGGATATGATTCAGCCCAAGTTTCTCATAAATGATAATAGAAGATAGAAGGCTTGCTTAGCTAATTACAAGAGAGAAATAACTAAATAACTTAGATATAAGTCAAGTTTATTCAATCTCAAGCGTTCACTTTGCAAGGCTAGGATAGTAGCTCTCACCTGTGCAAAATTGAGCAGATTTGTACACAAATTTTAGAGCCCTATTTATTATCGTTTGTAGACATTATTACAAATGAGAAATAATTAAATTGATTAATAATATTTGAATAATAATTAATTTACGTTTTTGGCCATATCTTATAATGTAATATAAAATCGGCTATTTAAAATTTATCAATTCTAACCATTTTGTCAGTAAGTACAAAATCAACGCTCTCGACTAATATACTTTTACTTGTTTAAGTCAATTATTAATTTTATATTAATTGATAACAAAAGTAACTAAGTTTCTATCAATAAAAAGAATTTTTACTCGTGTTCCTAAGATGTCATCTCAAGCTCAGAATATTCGCTTTATTACAGTAATTAATATATGTAAAGTTATAAATAAATTAAGTTTGTACATTAAAGTTCAATGATATGTAATAGTTAAAAGTAGGTATAAAGAAAGGCCTTAGCTCAGGGGAGTAGCCGCTCACTGAGCTGATTTCCTGAGCTGATGCCTGTGCATCTTCAGCTCAGCACTATCAACTCACTTCCCCTCCTCTTACGTGCTTCGGCACAGTCGACTCACCTCCCCCCCACTAAGCTGATATCCGTGCGTTATATGTTCTACATTTTCGGTTCATTGTGCCCTATTGAGCTGATATGCTCTCTGAGCCGATGCCCGTGTGTTCGCATGCTTTCCATCTCCAACGTACAGATCGGCGGATCGAACCCGCGTCCTCTGGATCCGCAGGCCGATGCTATACCGCGACAGGCACTGCGAATAGTACCTCGGACAGTTCTTATTGTGTATATTAGCTACTAATTTACTATACTAAATTACTATTTTGTAGCGAGAGGTGCCGTTGACTGCGTCGTCCATAAGGGACAGTCGTTTTTTTCCCCGCGATAACGAGATCGTGCAGTATTTCCGATGTGGATGGTCCTGCTGGGGTATTTTCGGGAGTTGGCGACCGCGATCGGAATAACTGGCACACGAGATGTTTCACGAGTCCGGTGCGATCTACGTGCCGCCTGCTTCCGCGCTGTGGTGGAGATTCCATCCACTGCGACCGACGTCTGTAACAACCAGCAGCGCAGGATGCGCAGTCGTAGCCCTCGCAGTCACGCATGGTATCGTCATGATCGTCGACCTGCAAAGAAGAAACAAAAGAAATTTATAATAAACTACCCCGATTAGAAAAAAGAATTATTATCTGTATTGGCAAAAAAAATTCATACCTTTCCTCGTTGCCCTTGCTCCTCTGGTGAAACGAAATTCACCAAGAGTGTTGAGGCGTCGCGAGATCCGTGAAGGATGCTGGAGGCATCAGCAGATCAACGTGTGTCACGCGTCGTGGTGGTGGTGGTGGACGCGTGACGATAACCTCGCACACCATCGCCACGTCATTATCATCGTCATGAGATCTGTAAAAAAATTATATAGAAAAAAATTATTTATATATGTAATATAATATATATATATTATATATTATATATAATATATAATATATATATTATATATATATATATATATATATATATATATATATATATATATATATATATATATATATATATATATATATATATATATATATATTTATTTATTTATTTATTTATTTATTTACAACTTATGTTACATTTGATTTACAATTCTTACTTTACTATTTGTGTCTCGTGTCTAGTTTGTGTAGTTATTAATGTATGTGTTTTGTGTGTGTTTTTTGTGTATATGTATACGTATGTACGAGGGTGGTCCGATAAGTACTTAGCATACAAAAGAAAAACGAAAATTTTGGAAAACTGGCGTTTTATTTTTCAACATAGTCTCCTTTTAGTTCGATACACTTGGCCCAACGATGCTCCAACTTCTTTAACCCGTCTGAAAAATACGTTTCCTCGAAGTCTGAAAAGTAGGCTTCCGTGGCAGCGATTACGTCTTCATTCGACTCAAATTTCTGCCCGGTGAGTGACTTTTTCAAGTTTGAAGACAAAAATAAGTCACACGGGGCTAAATCTGAAGAATACGGTGGATGGGGCAGCAGTTCGTAGCCTAATTCGACCAATTTGGCCATGGCGACGGCGGAGGTGTGAGCCGGTGCGTTGTCATGGTGGAAGAGCACTTTTTTCTTCGTCAAATGGGGCCGTTTTTTCTGCAATTCGACGTCGAATCGGCCCAATAATTCGGCATAGTACAGCCCTGTGATCGCTTTGCCCGTCTCCAGGTAGTCGATGTAGATCACACCTTGTGAATCCCAGAAAACGGTGGCCATCACCTTTCCAGCCGATGGAGCAGTCTTCGCCTTGTTCAGAGCACTTTCGCCGAGTAAAGTTCACTGTTTCCTTGGTCTCTGGTGTATACCAGTGGATACATGTTTCGTCGACTGTCACGAAACAACGCAGAAACTCCTTCGGATTGCGCTTAAACAGCGTCAGACATCGCTCTGAAGTTGTCTCACGATTGCGTTTGTTGTCCGGAGTGAGCAAACACGGCACCCGTCGCGCCGACAGCTTTCTCATGCCCAAAATTTCATGCAGGACATGACCCACGCGGTCTTTTGAGATGTCGTCGATCTACTAATACGAGATCGTGAATTTTTGTCACGTTATGTTCCGTGGTAGCCGTTTTCGGAGCACTTGAACGTGGCTCTTCAAAAATCGACGTGCGACCACGTTGAAACTCGTTAAACCAATTTTTGACAGTCGCCATCGAAGGCGAAGAGTCACCGTACATAGCATCCGAGCGCTTTTTGATTTCGCTGCGCGATTTCCCTTCCAAAAATAAAAATCGAATCACCGACCGATACTGCTCTTTTTCCATTTTTCAAAAATCAACAGACACATTTGCTTTTACACGCTCTCAAAAATAAACGACAACTCCGATCCGGCTGAAATCTTGGCAGTAACCATCGAAAAGGTTGTACTACGTGATAGAATATTTCTTTTGCGAGAGTGGCGCCATCGGGCGGTGAGGCTAAGTACTTATCGGACCACCCTCGTAGGTGTGTCTGCAACTCTTGGATCTCTGTCTTCTGCGCCTGTCTGTTCAGCTTTTCTTCTCATTGTTCTGTTGCTTAATCTTCTCTTTCCCTCTCTGTCTCCGAGATCTGCCTTTTCCGCTCTTCTGTTTTTC